ATAGAGTGAGCTTACGCCCAGTGAGATAATACCACTCAAGCAACCAAGTTCATATAAGCATCAAGCTTTTCATTCCAATACATCAAAAGTAAGCAAAGGCACACATCAATAGTGGTGATAAAAGGATACGGGCGGCTCTCAAGAGCCCTTTTTCCTCGTTTGCATTCTTGATCGAACCTCATTGACTCTCCGTCAATGTTTCAAAGTAACCAACCGTAGAATCCACTTTACTTCCATTCCTTCCACCCAACATACCCCTACCGGGCCCGAACTCCAAACACTTGCAATGTGGTATTACTCGAGTATACCGGAATCAAGAGTCTCTCATACTACAGGATTCCATATAACAGTCCCCAAGGTTCATTAATTGGCACGACCAAGCCCTCGCCGGCTCGATTCAATCAACTACCAATGGGGTTGAGCTCAATGGTAACAATCATGGTCGTTGGATACTCGTCCAAATGATACCAAGTCAAGTACTTTCATTTCATGTAACATTCCATGTAACATTCCAATAACATTCCAATTAAGTGAGAGTGATCAAGTACACCCTCACTTAAATCAATATCGAAGGTGCAATAAACATTCAACACATCCAGTTCAAATATCAAAGCCATAGAGTAACACACAAGTGAGTAGTACACTCACCAAGCTTGAAAATAATATTTCATACACCTCCGTCAAAGGAGCGTCGTGAACCACCGTCACGCCCTAAAACATGCAAACAAGTACAATGAGACTCGATAATGAGTCATAAACCAATGCCAAATACTACCAAAATAGGGTTCCATAAGCATACATAAGCATGAGAGGAAACCAGAAAAATCCGGAAATGGAGTTAAGTGTTAACCCAAAAAAAACAGTTTTTGATATCATTTTGCGGTTTTAGTACCACAGGCACTACGATTATCGGATCAAGGTGAAAGATACACCGTTTCGAAGCTAAGAGATAGGGCTACAATGTTACATAAGGTTACTCAGCCCAGTTTCGAGTGCAACCAGGTCAAAAATGCAATCTACTACACCAGAACCGCAAAAACAGGTTCACAAATTGCATTCTGGTGCAAACATCATAAATCAGGCTACCTAAGTCCAAATCCAGTAATTCCAAAACATCCGAAAGCTAAGAAACAGGGATAAAATTCATCATAAGACCTTAACAATCAATTCTGAAGCATTCCTAACCAAATTAACCAATTACAGACGCAACTATCAAATTCGGGTAAAACCAGGGCAGCAAGGGTAATTCGGTCTTTTCTCAATCTACACTATTCCGATTGACCTGAAAGTTTACAGGAATCTCTAAAATATCATTCCCTACAACTTTCATGTTTTAACCCAAGGCCAATTCGGCCTCTAACTATGATCTACAGTGCCGGGCAGAATGAAGAACAATGAAACCCTAACTTTCCAATTTTCTTTCCAAAACAGAAATTGCTTGCAATTAACCACTTTTTCCACCTTCTAGCTTCCTTATATATCATTTCCAATCATCATACATGACCACATAATCATATTCATATGAAAACATAAAAATCCCCAATAATTAAAAAACTTCACCAATTCAACCAAAAATCAAGATATAATCCATAAAATTGCATCTTATACCACCACCAATCATGAATTTAACATCATTAGAGGGAGGAGAGGGGTTCCTTCACAACTCACCTTAGCAACACAAGAGAGAGAGCAACTACTCACCTTAGCTTTCCAAACAACTTCACCAATCACCTCACCAACACTAATTGAAGAGGTTTTATGGAACAAAAGCAAGTTTAAGTGGTTGATTTGGTAGATTTAAGCAAGATTGAAGCCAAAAACTTGAAGAGTTTTCTTTCTTTTGTTGCTTGAAGAGGTCGGCCAAGATGAAGGAGAAAATGGTGAATTTTTGGTAGTTTTTGTTTGATTTATTTGGTCAAATGGTAAGAAAATAAATAGTAGTCATGAAGCAAAATCCACTCATAAGGTGACACTTGTCACTTCATAAATGCATCTATATCTCTTTGTTTCCTCTCTCACCAATCCAAATAGCAACCTCTAATTATCTCTTAACACCCGATAATTTAAACCCAATATCCAAAACTTAACCTAATTGGCCGAATTTTTCCGAACTTTTCGCCCTAGTGGGTCCCACGTCCGGTATATGCTCTTAATTTCTCAAAAACTATTCGATACTAGAAAAATCATCTAAAAACTATATCTGCTCCTTAAAAGTATCTAGAAATTTTCCTAATCACGAAAATGCAGAAAACAAGCCATTGAATATAATAAAACCTAGGAAATGGAAAAAAAATTACGGGTTCTCACAAGAGTTCGTGGTAATACTTGAGTATACCAAAATACTGTCCCAGGGTTGCCAGTCGCCGGACCGAATCCGCTTCTGGCTCGAGTCGACTGGCAACGAAGGGCAAGGGCCCAATTCAATCAAAAGGCTTACATTCATGCACAAGTAGCATTTAATCATTGAAAATTCACTTTTGCTTGGATCGAGTGCGATAAAGTACACACTCGCCCATCAAAAATCCATTTAACAGTCATTGGAAAGCATTTAACATTCAAACAATCACTCGCAGATATTCATAGAGTCACTTATTGCACAAACATGCAAGAAACGCTCACCAGTTTAAGCAAAATAACGTTGAAAGTTTCCTTCCAGATTATTCCCTTGATCACCGACAAACCCTAAGAATAACCAAGAGAAAATATTATGGCTCAACCATCCAAAATTTAGGTGAAACAAAGAAAATCCGAGTAACTACTAGTACAAAGGCGCAAATATAATTTTGGAGTGAAAAGAGAATTTTTAGACCCAAGAGACATAAGTAACCAAGAATTTCCTCATTCCAATCATAAACCAAGCTCAAAATGGTTTAACAACTCCAACTTAAAGTTGGAAATGAAAGTAAGGACAGTTTTAGGAAAACTGAATTTTTCCAGTTTTGCGTGATGCTATTTGAAAAATCATATCTCAAGCTTTTTAAGTCCAAAATTTATAAACTTTATACCTTGGAAAAAAGATTCAAAGAGCTACAATTTCTCAGAAGGCACATTTGCAAGATTCTGTCCACAAATCAATCAAAATCCAATCTCAAGTGGCTGCTTTATCTAGTAGAAAGACAGAACAGGAATGGAAATTCAGTCAAATTTGGAAAATGACAGATATTCATACAAATTGTTAAAAATTCTGAAATTTTCACGGTAGAATGTACTCTGAATCTAGTTTCAAACACAATAAGCAGAACTGAATTTGAATTTTTTACACCAAGATATGACAAATTTCCCAAGACTGCTTAGAGTCTCCTGCAGGCAAAAATTCAGCAGCACTTCCTTTGTGTGTACCAATTTTTCAAGCCATTCAAGGCTTCATTTTCTTTCCAAATCAGCCCCAAACCAACACTACAGGTAAGAATATAAAGATAGCTCTTGATCTAGTCCAAAAACCATCCAAATATAATTCATTTCTAGCAAATAATCAACCAATACCAAGGCTGGAAATTCTTACCAAGGCTGAAAATTACAAACCCTAGCTGAAATTTCACTAATCACCACCAAAACTAGAAGATCATCCATAATATTCCAAGATTCAAGATATCTATACCATATCTAACAAGAATAAGGAAGAGAAAAAAAGTGGATGAACTTATACCTTCCAAAGCACTTGAAGAAAGTGAAAAACAAAAGCTTTCCTCTCCAAACAACTCCACAACAAGCTTCCTTAGCTCCTTGGTGCTAGTTTAATCGATTTAGATTTTGAGATTTCAACTCAAACAAGGCTAAATCAAGATGAAGTTGGAAGTTCTCATCTCTTGTTTTTCTCTCTCAATTTTCGGCCAACACAAGAGGAAAATGAAGAAAACTTAGCCAAAAGGAAAGATAAGATGAAAGGAAAATGTCTTGGTCAAACTTCCATGGATTGTCAACACTTGTCACTTAAGATCTTTTCTTTGTTTTTGTTTTGTTTTCTTCATTTTCCTTAGTCAATAATGGTGGCTGACTTAAGGGTTAATTTAGGGAGGTTTAGGTGAAATAAAAATAAGAAGATTAGGGTAAGAAAGTAGTGGTCAAGTGGTGTACTCAATCGGTAACAAACAGTGCACGTCGGTTCAAGCCTACTTTCCTTAACTCTCGCGTACTTGTGTTTTAACTTATGATTCACTTACTTATTATTAGAACTTCTAATCATACACTTCCTCTTACCTAATACTCACTCTTATCCACCAAATTTAGTGCACACACCTCACCAATCGATCACACTACCAAAATGTACCAAAACCCTAACTTACTCTAACTTTAAAAGTAAAAGTAAAACTCTTGACTCAACTAATGAAATCACCATGAAATTTAGGGCTAGTAAATAATTAAATAGTCAAAGTAAAGAAATATAGAAGGAAATATAAATTAATTTTTCAAAAATGGGAGGAAATTCTAAAGAAATTTTTGGGTCCTCACACTCTCTCCCCCTTATGAAAATTTCGTCCTCGAAATTTTTACCTTCCATCACCTCAGATACTCCAGAGCCTGTTGCTTGTCTAAGGCATATACCCTTGCTGAGACTTTCGGTCGATTCCCTCTTTTATTAGCTTGTCTAGGTTTGGTTCTATCCACTTGTTGACCATTATTCCCTCGTGGCTGCTTCTTCGGGAAATTGTTAATTTGATGATCGCTACTCCCACAAATCAAACAATTTCGCCCTTTTACCCAGCATTCATCCTCAGTATGATTTGTCTTTCCATAGTATTTACAAGCCAAGAGAGGAGCCACTTTTTGGCTTTCTCGAGGAACTCCCTCTTGTTGTCATTTTCCTATTTGAATTTCTCTTGAAGAACCTTCTTCTAATTGTCCTAATGTCCAGGGTGAGTAGTGCTGAAAGTCCGTTCTTCTTACTTTGGAGGGTGTTACATTTTCCTTAGCTTCCTTAGGCGTACTAGTAAGGGTACCCCTCTTTCTCGCATGCAAAGCCTTCACTTGCGCCCTCGTAATTTCAATTCTTTGAGTTTTTTCTAGGGCTTCCGTGCATTAATTTGTGCAGCCGCTAAAGCCTCTTGCATTTCTACATTTAACCCCTGTACAAATCGTTTCACCCTCCTTTGCTCTGTATCTACTAATTCATGAGCAAATTGGGACAGTTTAGTGAATTGTGTTTCGTATTCGGCCACGCTTAGTGTTCCTAGGCGTAACCTAATGAAATCATCCTCTCTTTTCTCTTGAACCAGAGGTGGGAAGTATTTCTCATTAAATTCTCTCATAAAGTTTACCCAAATCCATGCTGTCTGTTCTCTCTTCCACTTTGCCCTAATAACATTCCACCATGCTCTAACCGGTCCTTCAAATTGAAAGACTGCAAAAGCCACTTGTTTTTCTTTCATATAATGCAAGGCTACAAAAATATTTATCATTGCCTCCAACCAATTTTCAGCTACTTCCGGGTCAGACCCTTCAAAGAATTTTGGTGGAAAAAATTTTTGGAAACGCTCTAAGGCCCTGTCATCTCCTATCTCAGGGTTTCTAGGCTGATTCACTAGAGCTCGGCCTTGTTGCTCTACCAATTGCACTAAAGTATTAGCCATTTGTTGTATTGCCGTTGGTACTTGATCCCCTGATTCAGCCCTTGGTTCTTGTTGCTGCTCTGCCACCGCGACTCTTGTTTCTCTTGGTTCTTGTACTTGCCTACCTCCACGTCCACGGCTAGCCTCACGTCCCCGACTAGCCCCTTGTCCTTGACTTCGTCTACCTTCCATACCCTTCTCTTCCTCTCTTTGTTTTTTTTCAAAAGGTTATATAGCACATAAACAAAATCAATCGACTATAGCAGCAAAAGAAAGGCATTTTTAAATCACATCGTCAAAGATAAGGAAATGCACTTAGTAAACTTATAGCATTCCAAGTTCATTCATCAGGTTGCAAAGATACTTTACATATCAATTTGATCAAAAGCAAGTGCGTAAAACAAAGCAGATACCATACACATTAGCATTGATATGTCATTAGCAGCATACATACAGTGGTAGAACAAGAAAATACGTGTCCTTCCAACTACCTGAACTCACGTCCGCAATTCTCAAGTCTTTACCCTATTGGGCATTAACCCTAGGTATTGTTCAAGCACCACTCTTAATCAAAACTCGAAGAAATACAATGAGGTATGTACACTTGAATAATAAGGGTCCTAAATCTCACTAATATTTTCAATATATCCCAAGTCTAGACTATTCGCATCCCCCGTGCCTTGATTTTCGCCATCTAGACTTATCCCAATATTACTCATGATATCGACTTATCATAAGGTATCACTCGTTGGTACTCGGGTACAAGAATCTGAAAATATGATGATTCACCACTCGAGTTGGCCAGTCCCAAGAGGAAATCAACCACTTTTGAGATTCCTACCCAACATACATATCTAATTTTCCTCAATAATAGAGATTCATTCTGCACTTAAAGGTCAATTTTCATAGTCCGAGAACCCTCTCCCGGCATGAGCTCAAAAGAGCTCTAATACCACTTATGACGACCCCACATTTCCCCTAGGGTGTGAGGACCCGAATTTTATTTTATTGGTTTATTTAATTATTTAATTATCCATTTTCTCCAATTAATTTATTTCATCCATTTTAATTTCATTTGCAAGGAACAATGTCTCATTTTATATTTTAAAACGTTTCGCTAGTTAAATTAATTTTTTTTGCGACTCGTTCAGTAAGAAATAGCGATTACACGTATTTTGAGGTAAAGTTCGATCCAAGAGTGCAATAATCTTAGAGAATTAAGGATGATCAATAGTAAACTAAGAAAAGTTAATTGAGGGACTAGAGGTGAGTGAGTTAATTAAGCTCAATTAGGAGCACTAATTGCGCACTATTCAATTGTTGACTTTCGGGTACCAAAGCACCTTTATGTCATTCTTCCATTCACTCCATCAAATGACCAACTACCACCCAAAACCCTTTCTTCCTCCTCTCCTCGTTGGCCAACACCCCCTCCCTCATTTCTCACGAAAAATTTCAGCTCATTGTCTTCCATTTTAGCTCTAAGTAAACACTCCAAACTTACTTCTTTTCTTGGTTCATCATACAAGCTTGAAGGATGGCTTGAAAGAGGAAGGAACTTTGGTGGTAAGAGCTTATACACTAGTGGTTGGCCTTCACTTTTGGAAGCAAGGTAACCATTCAAAACCCTCATCTTTTCCTCTCAACTTATAGTAGTTAGTTAGTTAATCTAGTTAGTCTTTGGGTTGTTGATGGGTTCACAAGAACCTTGACACTAGGTAGAGGACTTGAGGTGGCTTTATAGGTTTACTTGTTTGTTTGGTGCTTGTTTTGATGAACTATGGCTTAGTTTTGGTTGGAAAGTTGAAAAGAAAACTAGAAGAATGGAGGATGCTTGCTGTCCGAATTTTGGTTGGTTAAATACCTCATGTTAATTTTGAATTTTGATGTTATTTTGGTGCTATAATTTTTGTTATATGATGGTGTTTATGTGTGTTACATATCTCCCAAAAATCTTTTCAATTGGTTGAGTAAAAGTTGGGTTGAAGTGAGGAAGAAATCTGGAAAATTTCTAACTAGGATACCAGTCCAATGCACACGTTTCAGTCCATAACTTTTTGTCCAAGGGTCAAAATCACATGCCATTTATGTCATATGAAACTAGACTCTGAGGGCTTTCCAACGGTATAACATGGACATTTAATTCATTTTCTATGAGCCGTAGTGAACAGGCAAAAATGACTGATTTTCCTCACTGTTTTCATCGGAGAAATAAGTGTAGCTGCAGTTTGTAGCCCATTTTCTCCTATCTTGCCAAATGAATTTTAAGACAGTTTCTTCTAGTGAATTTAATGATTTTGAATCTAGTTTTCTACGCCACAAATTACGCTAAATTTTGAGTTGTGTAGTTTTAGTTATGACCAGATTTTTAAACCCTGTCAAGTACTTCAAAACTGGAAATTTCATGAAACAGATTCCAAAAAATCAGCTTTCTTAAAACTGTTGTATCTTAGTGTAGAAAGGTCCAAATTGAGTTATGTTTGTTGCATTTGAAACTAGATTTGAATTTCTATTAGTCATGTAAATTTCAAGGGCTGATTGTATTTCTATGAAATTTTTCAAATTTCCAAAGTTTACTGAATTTGCAAGCATGTTTTGCTCTGTCCTGTCTGGAACAGTGATTTTGAGCTAAGATTTGAATGATTTCAGATTCGAGTCTGGGAAAAGTGACTTCTAGAGAGTTTTAGTGAATTGAAACTAGTTTCCAATGGTATAATGTTTCCAAATTTTGGACTTACGAAACTCGAGATATGATTTTTCCAACTAGTGTCGCACCAAGCTAGAAATTTTCTAGTTTCAAACAAAGTACTCTTTTCAGAACTTTCAACCTTTCTTTGAGATTGTTGGTCCGTTTTGAGTTTAATTTCATGGTTGGATATAAGGTCTCTTTGAATATTAGACCTTCATTTTGAATCTTGGTTTCCAAAGGATTAAACTTCTCTTAATGTGTTTCTTGGTTCCTTAACTTTCTTGGACAATTGCACCTCACCTTATACTTGAGATATGGATTTCAAACCCTAGTCTTATGCCCTTGATTTCCATGAGTTTGAGCTCTAAAAATGGAGCGTTTTAACTAAAGTAATTCTTGGAGAATTTCACTAGTTTATACTCGAAATTTGGAATCTTTAGCTTTAACATTTACTATGGGAATGAGTGGAGTTTTGATGAATTCTAACTCCATTAGTTTAGAAAATGTGAATGTTCCTTATATTCTTAAAACTTGGGCATAGGACTACAAGTTTTGAGAGATGAAAATCATTTTTTCTTTTTCTCGATTTTTGTGCCAAAAGTATATATAATACTTTCTTTTGGAATTGAGATTTCTTGTCACGACTTGAATTAAAAACAACCTTTGGGTTCTCTTTGAGCATTATTTCAATGATTTAGCGAGAAAAGCTTCTTTAACTTGACTTGACTTGTGACCTTGAGAGTGGGTAGCAAGAAAATATTTTTCTTTATAACCTTGGTCGAGTACTTAGATAATCATGATTGTGCATCTCTCAGGTAGTCACGAGGACGCCGAATAGCTCATCTGACTCCTCGCTTTGCTTTTGTTTTACCTTGACTTTTGGTGAGTGTCAAGTGCATGTTCAATGCTAATATGATTGAAATGATATTTGTACAAGTGCTATATGATACGTGAACTTGCCGAGGCGAGGTTGTACTTTACCGCCCTTGTCCTCTCTCTCTCCTGATTACATGATACTTGTTAAATGAATATATATGACTTGCACTTGTACATGAACATATTTAACTTGTGAACGCTAAGCGGAAGTATGTACCACACTCTATTCGGGTAGGAGGTGCCTCTCATGCCGACTCAGTGCTATGATCGATTCTAAGTCGATTGGAGCGTTGTCTCATCAACTACTTATACTTGTGGGGACGCCCGAACCCATTGGCTAACCTTGTAACTCAAGCCGGCAAGAGCTTAGTCGAGAAGGTTGGTGAACCATGGGAAATATTATAACTCGATCTTTTGAGATCTCGTTTGGCATACTCGAATAGTATCGCCATCTCATGCTTGTTTAGTTCCGGATCCGAGAGGGTGTTATGTTGGATAGTGAAAGTAAGTGGAGCACTACGGTCATGTTGCTTCTTGAGTTGACGGAGAGTCAACCCTAAATGGCTTGAATCAGTCGAGATGTGGAAATAGCTCCTAAGAGCTCCTGTATCATTTCATGTGTGTTATTTCTTACTTGCGCATTTAAATGACAGTTCATGTTAAAGTTTCTTTCAAATATGCTATTTGTTTAATTGGTTCTACTTGCTTGCTTGTTTTCTTAGCCTCACTGGGCGTTAGCTCATCCCTTTAAGTTGTTCTTCCTTAACAGGCTTTGGAGGTGGAAATTGGAGATCCTAAAATAGCGACTTTTGGTTGAAACTAGTATACTTATGTATGTTATTGGAGACCATTAAAGTGTAAATTTTGTATACTTGGGTTTTACGATTTGTAATCATAAATAGTATACTTGGGAGTTTCGAGCTTGTATATTCGAAGTACTTCTTAATTAAGTCGATGGTTAATTTGTGATCCTTTATTAAGCTTGAATGAGTGTGTGAGTCCTGACGAGAGTTGGGCAGGCGTTCCGCTGATACCCTAGGGTTCACCCTAGGGAGAGGTGGGGGCATCACAGTTGGTATCAGAGTGCTAGGTTTGAAATACCTGGAATAGGGTTAGGAGTTTTTAGTCGTGAACTTTTGGTCATAGAAATTTGTGATAAACCTTAAGCTAAATTTTTGAATGGCACTAGTGATTATAAGGTCCTAACTTTTAGTTTTGTGGGTTAATTGTAGGTCATAGAAGGAAATGGTAGAAATGGGTCACCTCTAAGACACCTTCCCGCGATTCGTTATTGAGAGAGACCTTGCGGCCCTCTTTGGCAGTGGACCCTAATTCATCGAATTAGACCTTCATGTGATTGTTGGAGGACTTACTCGTACCCTAACGAAGTGGTGCTAGCGGTAATCGATGATCGGACGCAGTTATCCGAGGAAACTAGGGTAGTTCGAGAGGATAATCGAGAACTGAGGGCGACTGTGGATGTCCAAACTGCTAGAATTCATGAACAGGAGACAGATGTACTTGAGGAGCAGAAAAAGGCTGAGACTCTTCGTGAGCAGTTTCAGGAGGCTAAGCGCCTACTTGATAGGGAAGTACATGAAGTTAGAGACCGGACTGAGGGAATGAT